GGCCGGGGCAGCTTGTCCGGGGGCGGCCGCTCTGGCCGCAGTGCCGGGGAACCGGGGGATGGGGCACCGGCCCCAGCCCCGAGCCTCAGCGCCCCGAAGTGCGCGCTGGCCAGTAGCCGGAGGACTTCTGAAAACGACTGGATCCAGCCGTCACTGCTAATTACTGTCACTAGTCATATCACTGTCATTATCGTTGCGTTTCGTAGCGTTCTGCAGGGCATTACCTTTGGCGTAGGCTCCAGCGCATCATCGTGCCTAAGGCAGGGAGCTGCACAAGCGAACTGGGGCACCGGCACTTACGTAACAGCAGCAGGACAGAAATACTCGAGGGAGCTAGCGAGACGGTCTGCCACTTCTGAGCTCAGACCACACTGGCCATGCAACAGCGCTTATGCCACCGGTATGAAATGTGATTCTGCCTCTTCAAAAGACATTGCACAAACCCCCAGCCTTGGTTATGCTTTTTCCCTCCTTCATTTTTATTGTTACAGTTAAGGCTAGTTTCATGCTGGAGACAGAAGGATATTTTTCTGCTTAAGAGAGGGATCATTGGGAAAGAGAAACACTCATATAGAGCTGAAATGGAGAAGTTGGGAGAAACGGTGCCAATGCACCTCTTAGTTTTCATCTTTTCTGGCAGTGCTGCAGTGATTCTACAACATTAGCATGCGGGGTGTTTACTGAGTGGATGGATGAAATCTGAGTTAGGCAGCAGAGATTACTCAGCATCATCCCTCCCGTTAGCGCTAGTCACGTTGACATTGGTGCTACCCTTCTGATACGAACACTTACACCTGTGGCACGTATCCCAACACAATCCGCAGTTACAGATCACACGCTTGGAGCCAGGATACTGCGTGGAAGAAGCAGACATGCCAAGAAGCCACAGGAAGGATCCTTGTGAAACTGGGGTGTATGTATCTAGGTCACAACCAGCCATCCACAAAAATTATCTCTTCCTGACGATGAGTGTAGCCAGGTTTATTGGACCTGAAATTTCTCTCCTCTTGAGGGTTGTGGGGTTTCTGGTTTGGTTTCATTTTTGAGGGGTGGGGGTGTGTGTGCAGGAGGGGAACTGCAAAGTCTTTTTCATCCAGTGCTTTCTTATTTCTCTTGTTTGTCCTGATTCTTTGCCTTACCCCATGTCAGCTGAAGCATCAAAGATGGCGAAGGAAGTGAATGCTGACATGCTTTTGAGATTCCCTCCCACTTACATCTTTTTGCTGAATAGATTTCTCACTTTGCTGTCTCTTTCAGAAAATGCCATTTTATTTTATTTTCCTAGGTTAAGAGTACGAATCTTAACATGAGAGAACAACTTCACTACAGAAGCTTAGGCTTCATACAATACTACTACTATCATGTGAAGCAATTCAGCAAAGAAAAGTACTTGCTAGTGTAAGCTTTCTCCATTCTCTAAATTGCAGTACTATAAACTGCACTCTGTGTTTTAAATGTTCAGCTAAAATGATTGAGGTATATTCTGCCTATACGTTTTAGCAGGAAACCCACAGAAACCTTACTAATTTCTGTATAGCTATTTTGAGTTTCATATGCAGAACAGATGTGGCTTTTTAAAATATTTCCCTCTTTGTACATTACACGAGAATATAATGTCACTCCACTTCATCCTATTTGTTCTTATACCAAACAACCAACTCCAGCTGTGGACAGAGCTGGAGTCCACCTTGTACAAAAAATATACTCCAAAATAAGGTAGTGGACATCATAAGCATTTACCCAGACTTTTTTTTGTTAGAAAAAAGATTGTCTTCATTATCCTAGGGACAACGTACTACAATTTATCACCACTACTTTCTTTATTTTGTTTTTAATTGTTAAAAAACCCCACAAACTGAAACTGTTGCCACTAGGGTGTTTGTAGATAGCCCTTCTGGAAGGAAAGGAGATTGTATTTGCTAATACATAGCAATTCTGGCAAGCGGTCACCTCACTTTCCATGAATGCTCTCTCATCATGACTGGGAATTTTTTAAAAGGAAAATCTAGAAACATATTCAGATAATTTTATTAATTTTAATTTAATGACATCCTTAGTCTAAGCATCTACTTGATTCCATTATGATTTTAAACATGCTTAAAGTTAAATGGTCATATTAAATGAGGATTCTTTACTAGATATTGGCATTGATTAAGGCAAGAAGTATTACTTCCATTGCAGAGACAAGAAAGAAAAGAAAGAGTAACAGTGAATTAGAGACCTCTTACTGCATCCAAAGCAAATTATTTAGTGTGCAGCATACTTCCAAGAGCACTCAGGTAAGAAGGCCTCAGCTAAGGCCAGGTGTCAGCCAGATGAACAAGTCTAGCCAGGCACTGAAGGAAGGCTAGTGTGTTCCTCCTCTAACAAACCCATCTTCTAAGTGCTCTGGTAAAGCATTACAAACCACAAGGAACAACACTGGCTCTGGGTAATGGATGACACAGCACCACTGAGCACTGCTGCTTTTGGCTGAGACATGAGTCAGGCATTTCTTTGGCACTGAAGAATTCAGCGCACTCTTCCTCAGAAGAGAAACACTGCCTTTAAAGGAGGTAAAGAAATGTTCTCGTTTGCCTCACTGTTGCATCACTCTGTGCTTGATCCAGTTCTGGTCACTAGACTTCAAGAAAGATCTAAATCAAGTAGAGACAATCCAGAGGACAGCTGTGAGAATGGTGGGAGGTCTAGAAGACACAACCCAAGAGAAAAGGCTGAAATAGCTGTTTAATCTAGAGATTAGAAAGTGGTGGGATGTATAGAAGCATTCAAACCTATAAAAGAGAACTACAAAAGGCAGGGAATAATCCCTTCTCAGTGTCCATAGTGCATAGGACAAGTTAACTTGCCTACCTTGCAGAAGGTGATACTGTCATATCAGAACTGAAAATTTTAGGAGGAAATAAAGCTTTGTACCACATACTGTAAGGAGGAAGTGAGATTTAGCATCACAGGAGATTTTAAAGTACAGACTAGACAAGCATCTTCCTGGAAAGCATTTTTTCTTCTTGATACTTTGTCGGGTTGAAGAACAGGATATCTCTTTAGGTGTCTTGATCTCTTCCAAGTCTATTTGCTGTGACTCTGTGAATGCTGAGACTGGTTTGAGCAACAGAGCATACCCTTCTTTCTGTAGGTTTTGTAGCAAGCAGTAGTTGCCACTTCCTTCCTGTGCTAAACTGCCACACAGTAGCGATGTGCAACCTTAAAACATTGCCACACACCTCCTGGGAGATGTGTGCAGTTCTACATCTCCTCTTCATGTACTGTATCAAGTGTAAATGTATAAGCTGTATAACTGTATGAAGTTTTCTACATACAGGTGTTGTGTATTGTATGTAAACATAGTTGTATGTGTTTATGTTTTATATTTAAATGTAACAAAACTTGGGTGAACAAACTGACGATAAAGGTACAATTAGAAGCCAGGGTATATATTCCCTGTAACACAAATTATACTGAATTACATAAAGTGTAGCAATAGACCATTTAATTTGCCTTGCATTGTGATGAAATGAATGAAAGTCATGGGATGACATTACTCAAAAGTGAAGTGGGAGTAGAAAAAATTCAGGAAAAAAAAAGTCTTCTGCTAGTATATAATACCATGGTATACAGTATGTTCTTGTAAGTGAACTTATCAAACTTCTGGTCTTAGAGATGCCCAAATAGGATTTAAAGCTCAGTAAATGCACAGAATGAGCTCAGTCTAGCATATGGCATAGTTGAGCTAACACAAATGGCATTTATTTCTAATGTTAGTCACATCGTTATTGTCAAGAAACTCATTATATCTATTTGAAATTTATTGTTATGCCAGTTTTTCTTCATATATGCTTCATAAATTACACTAGAATGGAAAACAATTCTAAAAACTCAAACTCCTAAACAGGAATGCAAAGTGGATACCCCAATATTGTTTAAAATAGGACTAAAAAGTTACTATTTAAAGGTTATAATCAATCGGAAGTGCTACCAATCTAAAAATTATAAACATTCTGGAGGAAGCTGCCAAATCCAGCAGTTGAATAGCAGCAGGGCTGCCACAGCTCTACATCCCCACATGCAGGCAGTAGCAAGGCTGAGTATGTATTCCCAGTAGGTGCACATACTCACCATATACATACACATATATACATGCCTGCATGTCCAGTTGAAGTGCTAAGGCTTGGACAACAGGCCTAAGCCAGAGTTGACCTATAGATGAATCCTCTATATTTTATAACTGATAACCATTGTGCTAGTAGGTACTGTACTAAGTTATAACAAACCACTTATGCTGATGTGAAAAGTGGTAAAGAATTGAAATACTGAAGCCTGAACAACAGGCCCCAAGCTGAAGCTGCTAACTTAGCGTGTAATCATTAACAATGTAAACTCACTAGTGAAAGATGTGGCCTAGAATATAACAAGTAGTGAGGATGAAATGCTGAGAGAATGTATCCAGCTCCCCTTGTTTAGCCTTGTTCAAGGCTGAGAACCCATGTATTTGGCCTTGTCAGAAACTCCCTTGGTCTCCCTCCACAAGCCCTGGCCAGGCTTTGGGTGGAAACCAACAGGAGAATTAAACCAGAAATTTTCCACTCAAAACAAAGATGCCAGTTATTCTGGCTTGTCGATCTCGAGTATATAAGGCTGGACCCGTTTGCAGTGACTTTGGACGCCTCACCTATGGGTGGTCACACCGCGTAGGATTTCCCCCTTGCCAGGACAGGCTCTGCAAACCCTCGCTGTGACCGGGGCTGCCCAGCCACTGCGGGGCTGGATGGTGGTATCATATGCAAGTGGTGATGGATCTTTCTTAATCACTATTCTCTCTCTGAGGTAGTAATGATTTGATGCATTACCCTGTATTTTCCTATTGCTTTAGGTGCATTATTCTGCCTTTTCTTACTGCGTGTTTTACTCTGTTACATGATTTGGTTATCCCCAGTGAAATACACCTACTCTTTTCACTCTGGTGCCCAAGTTTAATTGGTATCCTTAATCAGCAAAACACCAGTAGGGACCAAAACTGCAGCACATGTGCAGACACTAATGGTCTAATACAGACAGAACTGGCCTGATCCTGTTTCCCTCCTAGCTGATCAGAGTGAAAGCCTGTTAATGGAAAATATATGCAAATACATATTCATCCATGAAGTGTGGATCCCTCCAGTAGCTGACTTTAAACACTCAGATGGGCCAGTTCCTGGCCCCTGGATCCCAGTGTCCCCAGCTCCCACGGTCAGAGCCCTGCTTTACCTGCTGGTACAGGCTCGCTTGCATCGCAGGCATGGACAAACACAGGGACACAGGGACACCCCATGCTCCCCTCGAAGGGCTGGCTTTAGGCATTTGGTCTCTCCAG